ACATAAAGCTCTGGAAAGACTGAATGCCAGATTTAAGGACACTTGTGCTTTTCTTTCTTTTCTATTTAGCTGACTGATATCTGCAGGATCAGAAGAGAAAGCGTTGGAGCTGCTCAAGCTGAAAGACTCCACTTATGTAAACGAAATCTGTAAGAGAGATTAACAAAATCTGAGGTGAGATAATAAATGTGCAGCGTAATTAAAAGGAGGATTTGTGTCTTCTGTCCTGCCAACCTCTCAAACAGATGGGGAGTGCCCAGTGTGGGAAAGAAGAGAGAGGGAAGGCTCCAGGTTCTGGAGAACATCCCTGTTTTCCTGAGCACTGCTCTGGGGAGTCCTGTGAGGAGCTGAGGGAGCTGAGAAGGGGGCTCAGCCTGGACAAAAGGAGGCTCAGGGGGGTTTTCTAGCTCTGCACAACTCCCTGACAGGAGGGGACAGTCAGGGGGGATTTGGGACCTTAACCCATGGAACAGAGCCAGGAGGAGAGGGAGCTGTGCCAGAAGAGGCTCAGAGTGGGCATCAGCAGGAATTTCTCCATGGAAAGGGTGCTCAGGCCTTGGAAGTGCCCAGGGAGGTTTGGAGTGCCCACCCCTGGAGGTGTCCAAGGAAAGCCTGGATGTGGCACTCAGTGCTCTGCGCTGGGGACAAGGTGGACATCCTGGAGTCGATGATCCTCAAGGGCTTTTCCAACCTCAGGGATTCTGGGATTCTGTGAAAGTGTGTGGCAAAGCCTGAGGAATCAGTCTTTGAGGAGTATGAAGTCATAGCCCTTCCTTATGGCAATGAGGGAAACAGAGGCAAACCTTTAAACCTTTACCATATCTCCTGGCTGAACTGGTAACATGAGGGGTTCTCTGGGTATCCCTGACTCAGCTACCTGCTGCAGGAGGGTGCTCTGGCCCATTCCCACACCGCTGGAGAGCGCAGGTGCCCTGATGGGCAGCCCCTCCCTGTGCCCAAAACCCTCCTATCAGCCTGGTGCTATAAATCCACCAGCACTGTGAGGAGCAGCTGTGCCAGGCACAGTGTGATGGAACGGCACTCTGCCCTTTCTCCTGCCTCTCCAACACACCCCGAGGTGAAATCCTAATTCCACTTGAACATCCTGCTCTCCATTTCCATACCTTTGGCTTATCTGAGAGCTACTCCTCTCTGCTGGCAGCAGGAAATCCAACATATGTAAAGTATGGATGGATGAGATCAATGGTATGTACGTGAATATATCCAATTCCAATCCAATTTTATCCTCCCAACCTAACAGGAGTTCTGTTCTCACTGAGCTCATTCCAAGAGCTCTGTTTGTGCTGGAACAACACCCCTTGGAGCACTCTGCCGTAAGCAGCCCTCGGGAGAGGAGAAAGCTCCCAGTGGATAATGGAACAGGCAGCGTACAGTGGATTACAGCTCTAATGTTTGATCCAAAGGCACACTCCTTGTCCAGGGACTGATCAGCTCCAGGAAGCTCCCAGGATTGCTGAGGCAGTGTGAGCTGTGGAAGCTCTGTAATGACTCTGAGTGGGAGGGAGATGGGAAATAACACATTCCATTAGGCTGGGAGTGAGAGCAGTCTGGGCTGCAGGAGCTCCATCTGCAGAGGGGTGATATCCATGGAAGAGCTGGCATGGGAATCACAGGAGGAGCTGTGCCACATTTACACCAGTGTGCAGCAAGGTCAGAATCTTGTTCGCTTCAGAGGACACCTCTTGCCTTGTTACTTCAGAGACACCCAAACCTTTACTCCAGCTTTGAACTTGCCACATGAAAACAAGAATTCCCCCTCAAGGGGCAAACTGCTCCCAAACCCCCTCCATCAGCTCCACTGTGGATCAGAGCTGTCCCTCCAGTGCGCCCTTTTCCCAGCTCCTTCAATCCCATTGTTTTCCAGACTAACACCTTCCCTGTGAGATCCAAGAAGGAAAGTTTTCCAGTGATGGAAAGAAAGAAAGTGAACATGAGCCTCTTGGATTTGCTTCCTGGACCATTTCCCACCAGGGTGATGCTGTGGAAAATTCCAGAGGGAGATCCACTAGTAGGACTCTGCTCTTATTCTTGGACCCAGGCAAGCTGCATCAGCAAGGACCAGCTTTGACCTCCCTCCATGGATTCTGCCAGCAGGTCTTCCCAGTTGTCCCAGTTATAAATGAGCTCGGGATGTAATGGCTGGTTGTGACAGAGACCACAGGAACCCCTGCCCCATCCTGCAGTACCAAATGTGTCCAAGCAGGCACCAAAGTACACCTTCAACTTCTGGGAGTAAATTCCTTCCACCGTCAGGAGCCTGGGCAGGAGAAGCAGAAATATTTTCACTGTGAAGAGATGGAGGGACCTCAACCAGCCCCTTCCAGGCTGTCAGGGCTCTGGGTAAGGAAGTGGTCTCCATGTTTCAGGACAGATCTGTTTTCCCCCTGCCCTAGAGGGTGCTCTGGTAGACAGCAGCACCTAGGTCACACCAGCAGGCAGACAGGAAGAATCTGCTGCTCCAGAAACCGAACAAGAATTCCATGGTGGGATGAGCAGGCCAATAGGTGGGGAAAAGAGGCAGGGAAAAAGGAGAGAAAGGAATGGAGTCACCTCTGACTTCCTAAGGTCAGGACAGGCAGGAGGGCTCTTGGGTCACACCTGTGCCATGGCTGTGAGTGACAGGGTGACAAATGGGCACAGCCAGCTCCCAAGAAAGCCCTGACACTTCTCTGGTGCCATGTGCATGGCTGTCACCCAAAAGCCACGGATAAGGAGGTGGGTGGGGATGTGGGATTTCAGCAGCCCATCAGTCAGAGGTGCAAGGGTTCAGCTGCGGCATTTGGGGTGCAGCCATTCCCTGCTCTGGCATGGATCCATTCCCAGGGCTCTGCTCACACCAGCCCTGTCCCCAGACTGCCAGAACTGGAGCAGCCGGCGTGGCGCGTCTGCTCCTCTGGCATGGGAGCCGCTGCCAGCAGCTCTGAGGCAGCTTCTGGGCTCGCAGGGAAAGTGGAGGCTGTCCCTCCATGCTGTCCCAGCTTCCCACAGCCAGCTCCGGCTGTTACCAGCCAAGAAACACTTTTTGCCTAGCCCATCTGTAGCCTCGGCACCGCTTGGTGCTCCCAGAGCCATGAGGATGATGAAGGGGTTGCAAAAATAGAAAATCCACTGTCAAATTCAGCATTGGCACTGTGGGCAAGGGATGGGAACAAAGATTGCCCATGGGGATAGAGGGTCTGACACGTCTATGCCTGCTGCTTTCCCTGTGGGGTTCAAAGGGGATTCTCCTATGGGCAGGAAGGGAAAGGGGTTGAGGATTTCTCTCCAGAAAGTATAGGCCCCTGATGCTGCTGAGCTTTGGTGCTGCCAGCCTCCTTCTGAGGAGGAATCACAGCTTTTCCCCCATCCTCCACTTGTCCAACACCAATCCCATGTCCTCCCCTCCAAAGACTGTGCAATGAGGCTGCTGGGCCAGGGGTAATTTCCCTGATGGACAGAATCACAAGTTGGAAGGATGGGTTTGGGCTTTTGTTGCTGTTTTCTCCAGAACAAGGTGAGTTCATGCAATTCCTGAGTTTGCACCAGCTCAGCCAGCATGCATCTGCATGTCCAGGCAGAGCTTCTGCAAAGTGGGAGCTGTGAGCTCACAGGATCTGTGTGATAGAAGCCAATTGGAATTTTTTATTTACATTAGACCCCTCCCCACATCATGAGCTGGAAGTGGAGCACAGAGGAGGCTCAGCTTAGCACGTTCACACTTCCCAGCACAGCTGAGTTTGCTCTTTAAATGGGTTCCTTGGCCTCTGCTGAGGATGTATTTGCTGTTGCCAACCTGACGAACAAATCTCAGCGTCTCGTTGCTACATTCTTGGATAAATTGCAAAAAGTGAGGTGAGCTTTGGGGACCTGCTAAGGAAGAGGGCTCCTAAAAGAAGGATTAGTGACAGGACAAGAGGTTATAACCTCAAGCTGTGTCAGGGGAGGGTCAGGTTGGACATCAGGAGGAGTTTCTCCATGGAAAGGGTTGTTAACATTGCAAGGGGCTACTCAGGGAGGTTTGGAGTCCCCATCCCTGAGGTGGCCAAAGAAGACTGGATTTGGCACTCAGGTGGGGATCAGTCACAGGTTGGACTCCATGGTGTTGGAGGGATTTTCCAGCCTCATGGACTCTGGGATTCTGTGATTTATGTTGGGAAGGCACAGCTCAGCTCTTTCAGCCTTGTGCTCCTCCGAACTCTCCCTCTCCCCACAGGTGCCATTCCCAAGGGAATGTCCCCCTCCCCAGTGTCACACATCCATCACCAAACCCATGGCATGCAGCCAGCCTTCAGCACCTTCAGCATCGCTGTTCCATTACCTTTAATTAAATTCCAACATTACACCACCGTATTTCAGCTGCTTTCATCGCTTTCTTTAGTGGCGGCGGCAGGAAAAAGCAATTACTGTTCATCACAGCTGTGCCAAAATAAATTTACAAGTCAACGCTTGGGTTTGCTGTTTCAGGTGTGGGGTGTGGAGGGACTCCCCCTTCCTAGGAAATATTTCATGGATCTGTATCCTGGTCCTGCTTGAGGTTCTGTCAGAGCTCAGCAACTGGGCAGCAATTATGGAAAATCATGTGGGGATGGAAGTGGGCTGGGAAAGGGACGTTTTTGGGAGAATGACCCTAAAAGTGTCAGAACATCGGGGTGAGGCGGGAGCCACTCCAGGAGCGGCCCCACACAGCGATGGGGGACAACCCATCATCGAGACCGGCTCGTCCCGCAGATGAGGCAGCTTTCGCCTTTTGCCTTCCTCATTTCTCCCCCTTTTCCCCGGTCCCGAGGGAGCAGCGAGGAGCGTGAGTCGCTGCTCCCTCAGGACACGGCGGGACTGGGAGTCCCCACCTCCCTTGACCTTCTCAACATGGCGCCCGCCCCCGCGCCCTTTCCCCCACACGCCCTGTGCCCTTCCCAACATGGCGGCGCCAGGGGAGCCAGGGGCCCCTCCCAAGATGGCGGCGTCGCTTCCCGCCCGCGGGGCGCTTCCGGCGGGGCCTGGCGCGGTCATGGCGGAGCTGACGGACGCGGAGCTCCGCAAGGAGCTGCTGGCGCTCGGCTACCGCCCGGGGCCCATCACCGCCACCACCCGCAAGGTCTACATCAAGAAGCTGGGCTGCCTGCGGGCCGAGGTGGCGGCGGCCCGGCGCAGCGGCCGCACTGCGCCGCCCAGCCCGGGCCGCTCCTCCGCAGGGCCGCCGCAGGCCTCGCCCTCGCGGCAGCCCTCCGGCTTCACCAGCGGGGCCGCCCGTGAGAGTGAGGAGGAGGACGAGGAGGAGGAAGAGGAGGAGGAAGTGGGGCGGCCGCCCGCGTCCCGCTGGGGGACGTTGGGGGAGAGCGGCGGGCAGGCCTGGGGGGACCCCCGGGGGTCCCCGCCGGGCCGGGGCGGAGGCGTCAGGGCTGAGGGCAGCCGGTCCCGGGACAGCCTCGGGAGGCTGAGCCCTTCAGAGCAGTGGGGGACGACTGTGGAGAGAGGTGGCGGTGGGCTGGGGGCATCCCTGGCTGGGCACGGGGGGTTGAGTTCCCCCTCGCAGTGGGACACGTCCATAGAGAGGAGCGGGGGCCTTGGGCTGGACAGGGCCGGGGAGCTGAGCTCTGCGTCCCATTGGGAGACATCCAGAGATGTTGCAGAGCACGGCCGGGGGCTCAGCCAGGGGCTGGGGGCGACCCTTGATGGGTTTCGGGGCTCCTCATTGCAGTGGGGCGCCTCAGAGAGGAGTGGGGGGCTCAGCAGTGGCCTGAGACCGACCCTGGACAGGTTTCGGGGGTCAAACTCCGCATCCCAGTGGAGCCCCTCAGCAGAGAGGAGCGGGGGGCTCGGCAGCCGGGCTGGCTCGGGGTTGGATGGTGTTGGGGGACTGAGCTCCACGCCCTACTGGGCCTCCTCAGCAGGCTCCAAACCCCTTCCCAGCGAGGAGGAGTCCAGGAGCCACTGGGGGACATCAGGAGGGGGAATCAGGGCACAGAGCTCCCGAGCTGCCTGGGACACGGCGGGGGAGAGGAGGGGGCTCTCCTCCAACATGTGGTGGAGACGGGAGAGCGAAGTGACCCCCAGCACCCAGTGGGTCTCCTCAGCGGCCCCCGGGAGGTTCAGCAGCCTATTCAGGAGAGGGAAGGAGGACCTGGCTTCCAGCGTTGGGAAGGAGGCAGAGCGGGATGCGGGCAGCCGGGCTGGGGGGCTGATCCGGCGCTTCCCGTGGCGGGCAGTTGGCGATGGGGGGCATGGAGTGACCCCACGCACGGCCCTCCTGCGCTCAGCGCCGAGGCAGCAGCCGGAGGGGAAGGGGAAGGGCCTGGAGTATTACCTGTCCCAGTTCCTCTGCCTCGCCACCTTGGTGCTGCTCCTGATTTTTCTGGGGATCCTCGTGGTGAAGATGGTTGGGTCAGGCTGGCTGGACGGGAGCGAGGAGAGCTGTACGTGCACTGGTTTAATTCTCATTTAAACTTTATTCCTCACCTGTCTTCCTGCTTTCCCTTTATTGCTTCAATTCCCATCACATTTATCATCCTCACTGCCATAACCTGACATGTCTGTTTCTGTCCCTCTTCCCATCTCCCCTTTCCAATGGGAAACCTTGTTAGTCATGGGAAGCAAATCAAAAGTTTGCTTTTTCCAAACGAGTTTGGCCTTCAGTCCTTCAGAATCATGTGGTTTATGTGGAGTGCCATTCCTGCTGGGCCAAGGATGGATTTTATGGATGTCTGCTGGGCCAAGGATGGATTTTATGGTGTGACATGATGTCTGTGTAGTACCTGGGGTATGTTTTTGATGTTCCTCTGCCAGCACAGCCCTTCCCAGCCTTTATTCTGTTCAAGGAGGAAGTGCAGCAGATCAATTCAGCACTTCAGGTGTGGCAGTGTGTCTCTCTCTTCCATGAGAAATGGAAAGGGGTTTCCCCAGCAGCTGTTTTTTAAAGCTGAGTTCCCCAGCTGGAACAGTTGGAAATAGGGGATATTTCAGGCTTTGAGCTGAACAATGAAGGGTTTGGAGGCTGTTTTGGGAAGGTGCTGGTTCTGAGCCTGGGCACACCGTGCCCTTGGTGTGGGCTGGGAAAGCTGCTGCATTCCCAAAGCCAGGATAAAACTGCTCATTGTCACTGGATTGTCCTGTTTCAGCTGACACAGGAGTTCTGGAGGCAGGAACATTGCCCAGGTTCGAATTGTGCCAGCCCTGGGGCAGTGCAGGGTGCTGGACATGCTGCAGGTGCCAGGAGCTGCTCAGGCCCTGCAGAGCCCAGAGCTGCAGTCAGCCCTCCAGGAGGGTTCATTTCCCTCCTTGGCTGTGCTGGGATATTTCAGGTGACCCTGGTGGGCAGTAAGAGGCAGCACTGGAGTGTGAAGATCAGCGTGAAGCTTCTCCTCAAACAGGAACTGTTGAAACATCCAGCCCCAGTTTTCACTCCCTAGCTGAACACATTCATCAGCTCCATCCCTGCAGTGTTTTTCCTCGGGGCTGCTTCCAAAGCAGCTCCTGAAGGGGCTGTTTGCACCTCCAGGTGCTGCCAGGGGGAGATGAACAATAGCAGAACCTGGCTTTAAGTTGAGCCTGCTTTTAAAAAGATAATTATTTTCTTGATCAAAGCTCTTAATTTGCAGCCACCTAACTCACCCTCTTCTCTCTCCTAGTTAATCTCTTGCCTGTGGATTGTGACAAAAGCACGGATGAGGTAAGCATTTATTTATTTATCCTCACTCTTGTGAGCTCTCACAGAACAGTGATTATTCCAGGTATTGTATTCCATCCATAGCAGTATCCCTGTAGAATGATTAGTTCTATCGTTTTACAGAAAAATTGAGACTTGATGAGTTGGAATTAATGGGCCAGATTAAGTTAGGAGTGTGTATGAGACTCTGAAAGATAAAAATTTAAATTCCCAATTATGTGAATCAATTTCTTTTTAACAGTTGTACCAGCAGTGGTATTGGTTTGCAATAAAGCTGTTTTCAGCTTTAGCAGTACAAGATTTAATCCAGCTAATTCCCTGTGGAGTGCCTGCACAGCCCTGCTCCCTCTGTCAGGATGGATTTTTGGAAAAGCTGGGGCTGCCCCATCCCTGGAAGTGCCTGAGGCTGGGTTGGATAATGGATAAAATGGCAGCCTGGGATAGTGGAAAGTGCCCGTGGGATGGGTTGATCCCTTCCAACCCAAACCATTCCAGGATTCCATGGGCTGGTTTGGATGGGATATTGGGAATAAATCCTTCCGGGTGAGGAGGGGCTGGGATGGAATTCACAGAGAAGCTGTGGCTGCCCCATCCCTGGAAGTGCCCAAGGCCAGGTTGGACAGAGTTTGGAGAAATCTGGGATAGTGGAAGATGTCAGGGGTGGAACTGGGTGAGCTTTAAAGGTCCCTTCCAAACCAAACATTCTATGATTAGGAGGAAGAAGGTTTTGTGTTGGATTCTGAGTTCTGTGTACTGGAAAGTTCTGGAGGTGATGCTTCCATCTGTGGTGGGTCCGAGGCTGGTGCTGCAGGCTGGGCTGAGGGTTGGTGGCACTTTATAGAATCCCAGAATCCCAGACTGGTTTTGGCTGGAAGGGACCTTAAAACTCACCTGATTCCTCTGGGGAGGGACTTCTAGGAGATGCTCGGGGTCACTTGTGCCTGGAATGTTCCTCATTCAGGAGATCTGTTTGGAGCTGGTGATGGAGGACTGAGCCAGACTAAAGATATAGTTCTGTCTGGTGTTTGGAGCTGCACTCCTGCTGTCCCCATGCCACTGTTGATGTGTGTCCCTGTCTGTGCCCTGCAGTTCTGTCAGGCCAAGCACAAGGATGTGACCATGGCCGTGCTGCACGAGCTCTACAATTACCTGTCTGTGCAGGCAGGTGAGTGCCAGCGCATCCCCACCCCTGCTGAGCCTGCAGGAGCTGCCTCTCCCAGCTCCAGCTCGCTTCTGTCCCACTCTGGAGGGGTTCATGGAACCGGCAGTTCCCTTTGAGGAGTTCTGAGGCAGGCAGGGAAAGGTGGATTTATTTTTATTCTGAGTGTTGCTTGGCTAATGCACTCCTGTCACACTGCCTGGGTGAGTGGGCCTTGTTTGTACTTGAAGTGTTGGGATTTTCAGGTAGGATTGGTTGGCTTTGTTATTCTTTTCTAACAACAGCTTGAAATTGTCTTCAAGATAGAACCAGGAGTGTAAACTGATATGTTCTTACACATGAAGTGACCTAAGAAATTATCATTTCTGCTGAAATGTGGTGGCAGATGTGTGAGTGCCTCTCCTTTTCCTCACCAGAGTGGGACAGGCTCTCTGACATGAGGAGCTGACCCAGCACAGTCCCTACTGCAGGGGTAAATCCAGCCCATCAACGGTATTTTGGGATGGAGTAGGCTGCTAGAAATCCACTGCATGAGCAGGGACCTGTTCAGCAAGATTCACAGCAGTGGTAATCAGTAAAAAGGTTTCAGTTCCATTTTCTGCATTTCAGGCCTCAAGGCTGAAGCCTTTGGATACTGAAGCCGCACAGAATTCCTAAATCTTTTCAAATCTCACTTCAGATTTCCACCAGATTTACTTAGCACATTTGTTTAGTCAACTTGGTGAGGCAAGATTTAGAGGATTTAGTACCTTGCCAGCATTTCTCTGCCTGGGTTAGAGGCAGAGCTGTGATTTCAGCTCCTTGGAGGCATTTTAAACACTGATCATTAGCTCCACACCTGATACCTGGTGGCAGCTGTGGTTCTGTGCTCTGCAAGGGGCAGGAGCAATACTTTTCCCCCCTCAGTGTGTGTTCAGCAGCTCTGAAGTGTCAGCTTTGATTGCCCTTATCCAGCGGCAGCTCTGAAGTGAGAGGTTTGATTGCCCTTATCCAACCTTCGTGCAGTGGCTGAGATTTTATTAATAGTCATAATCTGATCTGCCTGCAATATAAATCTCACCCTGGAATCATTTTGCTCAGGGCTGGGGTGGATTGGAAAGGCGAGCATTTCTTGGTGTACGTTCAGAGCCTGGTTCTAAGCTGTTCAAGGGGTTTTTACAAACATAATTTTATTATTTGACTTTTCTTTTACCAGGTAATTTTGAATGTGGAAACCCTGAGAACTTAAAAAGCAAATGCATTTGGGTTAGTGAGGTGAAGGATCACGTGCTGGTGAGTGGGCTCTGAGCAGCTTTGTTATAACCCAGTGCTTAGTCTCTTATAAAGCAATAAATAATAGACACTAAAACAATTCACCATCTATTTTGCTTCCTCATCCTGCTTTGATTCTCTCCTATATCTCTCACTTCCCCTTTGGCCAGTCCTGTTCTCAGCAGTTCTTTTGAAAATCATTTTCTCCTCCATCTGTGATTCACCCCCCTGTAAATCTTAATAGTTTGTTTTTTCACTGGAGCCATCAGTCTTGTGAAACCAGAAATTTCCCTGGATTGAGGGCTGGGCAGAAGGATTTTTCTCTACTGCAGAGTGTCAGGAGACAGACTGCTCTGATCCAGCATTCCATTTCTTTCCTGGTAACCTGTCAGTAAGATTATGTTGTATTTAGTGGTTAGCCCTAACAGTCTGGGATGGTGTTATTTCACAAAGTGCTTCATGCATCATCTCCCCAGTCAGAAGACTTTAGGCCAGGCAGACCTTCAGGCTTAGTTCTCCTCCCTCCAGTTTACAGAATCCCGATAAGAATTCACCAGGGGACAGCCCCTGTGGAATGAATTCTCCCACTGCTGTAATGAAATCATGTTGGTCAGTATTTTAAATGAATGGAGGACTAATCTTCTTATGGCTTCCTTTGCACAGAATGTAACTGGCAGTTCCTCACAGAAGTTTGAAGCTGCCCTGCACTGGATACTGAACAGCAACAAGGATTTGGGAATTTGGTGAGCAGAAACCCTCTGTGTCAAAGTTAGGGATCTGCTGATACTGAGCAGCAAGAGGGATTTGGGAACTTGGTGAGCAGAAACCCTCTGTGTCAAAGTTAGGGATCTGCTGATACTGAGCAGCAGCAGGGATCTGGGAATTGGGTGGGTAGGAGCCCACTGTGTCAAAGTTGGGGATCTGAGTGTTGGCTGGGGTGGAATTTGACAGGGTCAGTGGTGCCCTTCAGCTCCCAGAGCTCGTTAGGCTTTAGCAGATAGGCTGGGATTGGCTGTGGCAGAGCTTGCTGGGCAAACTTCCAAAGGAAAATACAGCCCTGCAGCAGGATAGGAACTGAGCTCCCTCCAGGAGACAGTTCCCAGCCCAGGCTGTGGGACACAGGGATGTGTCCAGGGATGTGTCGCAGGTGGGATGGAAGTTGGAGGCCAGGGCTGCTTGTGGCCATCAGTGGTAGTGTTGTGCCTCCTGTGGAGTGGTCCTGGTGTCCTGCCCACTGTCCTGTGCCTACAGCTCTTCCTTAACTTACCCACTTTTCCTAGAATAAGCTCTCTCCAGAACATCTGTGCATTTGTGGAGCTGCATCCTTGGACCAGAGGGTTCTTTGGCCAGCAAAGCTCTCTGTGCAGTGGGTGGTGTCACCCATGCTTTGGGATCCTCTGGAGCAAGTCCTGAGGAGCAGCAGAGGGAAAGGGATGTTGAATGATACCTTCAGTGTCAGTTGTGTCTCTGGCAGAGCACCTGCCAGAATCTCAGAATTACTGAGGCTGGAAAATCCTTCTGGGATCACCAACCTGTGACTGATCCCCGCCTGGACAACCCCACCAGAGCACTCAGTGTCACATCCAAGTGAACATTCCAGAGATGGGAATTCCACCACATCCCTGGGCAGCCCCTGCCAGTGCCTAACCACCCTTTCCATGGTGAAATTCCTCCTGAAAGGATGGCCTGACTGACTGTGGGTGCTGGGGGGTTACTGAGGGGGCATTTCTCAGACAACAGGCTCCATCCATCAGAAAGAACAGCAGTACTCAGTTTTCAGGGAAAAAAACACAATATCCTATCCATAACCTACAGAAAGAATGTTATCCAGAGTCAGCAGCCATCATCACCTTCCTCTGGGAGGCGTGGGCTGCCTCCAGTCTGCTCTAACTCTAAAGCCTTAACAGTTGTTTGCATTTTCACGTTGCTAAATGTGTCTCTGATTAAGTGAATTGCAGCAGTCGTGGTGCTGGGGTTGGTGGGCAAGGCTTGTTGGAATTCCCACTGCTCCATTTGCTCTTAAATATTCCTGCAGCTGGTGCTGTGATCCACAGATCAGACAGCATCTGCTGCTTTGATTCCTGGGGTGTGCAAATGCCCAGGATGGGGCATGGCTTCCTTAGGGGCAGGGCTGGATTTGTAGGTGGGCTGGGATGCACAGTTTTCAAATTTTGTATTTTTATACTCCAGCACATTTCCAGTCAGAAGCCATGGGATACAATATCCTCCCACTTTTTATTTTGTTAATTAGCAGCTCTGCTGGCTGGTCCCCAAACAGCTCTGCTTCCCCGGAGCCAGTGTGGCAGCATCCCCAAAACCCTGCCCCTGGCATTTCTAGCTACATGAGATTATTTTTTAGTTGTTAGTCTGAGAGGCAGGACTGGAAATGAGCTTTGCACTGGGTGATTCTACTGCATGTTTTAAATACTTCCATGGAATTTGGGTTGTAAATAAGATGGGGGGTGGGACACAACCATGTGTGTGCAGCTCCTGCAGAACCCAGAACCAGGCCGAGCTCGCTGCAGTTTGTGAGCTGAGCACCTGTAAATTGAGCAAACCTCTTTGTCTAATGGTCTGTTCATAATTAGGAGCTTAAAAAACACAATCTCCTTTGGTCCAGCTCCCCTGGATCTGCAGGCTGTCCCTTGGACCCCTTGGTGCCTGTGAGCTCTCTCTGGGAATGGCTCAGTGTGGAGTGAGCCTGGGCTTGGGAGCAGCAGTGCTGCAGGGGAGGCTGAGGCTCTGCAGGGCTCTGTGCTGGTGCTCTGTCACTCTTTGAGCTGCTCCTGCTCCCAGCCTGGGTCCCCCAGCTCCCACTGCCAGGGCTGAGCAGTGACTCTGACTCAGGGAACGTTTCCATCTCCGTGCTGGGAGGTGGGAATCCAATTCCAACTTTAATCTTGTGCACGCTGAGAGGGGCTGCTCCGAGCTGTCAGAGAGGCAGTGCAGGGACACTCGATGTGCCAGTGGGAGCTGCGGCCCCACTGCCTTCCTGAAGCCACATCCATTCCTGGCCAATCAGCCAGTCCCCAAATGTTCTGGCAGGAGGCTCTGCCTGGGTGTGGGGGCATTTCCTGCGAGCTGCTGCATCCGCAGTCTGGTTGTTCTCCCGCCCTTGATTAAAGACTGCAGTTACAGCCTGCTCTGTTCACTGAGATTTTCTGCCTCTTTCCATCAGGTTGAAAGGCAGGGACCTGTCAGAGCCGGTTTCCAGCGTGGAGGAAGTGTTCTGCCTGGAATCTGCCCACCCCCAGATGGGGCTGGGCTGCCGCTTCCGCCGGGCCGTGGTCACGGCCATCAGGAACCTCTTCCTCTTCTTCTGGAGTAAGTGGCTCTTGGGGCTCAGCTGCAGGGATGAAGCCTTGTGATCACACATTCCTCAGCCATCGGAAATGCCTAGCAGAGGTGAAATAAATCTGCTGATGAGTTAATGTCTAATTAACCTTTGTTCTGGCAGCACAGGATACCCACAGCCCTCCTCTTGTGCTGTGAGTGCTTAAAAGTTGCTTTAAATCAGGCAGCTGATGAGCTCTCTGGGTATTCCTCAAGTGCCCATTATTTTGGGCTGCAGAGTAAGTGTGTTAACTTACCTTAAGGAGTCAGTTTTTCTTTTTTTCTTGCTCTAAGCTCTCAGGTCCTCCAGCCTCTTTAATAATGACTTGTAGCATTTCAGGGTTGGAGGTTTTATTGGAATAGTCTGTCACGCCTCAGCTGAGACAGGGGTTTTACCCAGCGAGGTGATAACGAGAGCCGTGTGACTACAGGAGTTTCTAATCCAGCCTGACAGGGAGGGGGTGACAAGGGACAGTTCTGTTTATTGCAGACACTGGGGGCATTGTCAGTCCTAAACCTTTCATACACATCTCCTGCATTTTGGGCTGCCACTGGAGCCCCAGGCTTTACTTCCCTATCCAGCAGCTCTCCACGGAGCAGTGAAACCTGACAGTTTTCCAGAGTGATTCTTGTTGGGGAGGCCTCTCTGGCAAAGCCTCCTCTGGGATTTGCAGAACTGAAGTCCTGTGGTTGTGCTGAGGTTTCTTTTGTGAGGGCATCTCTGTGCTGAGGCTTTCCCACCACCTCATCCCACATCCACAGGTGCCCTGTGCTGCAAGGGGGGGCTGCTCTGAGGGCTTTTGGGGTGCAGCTGCTCTGGGGAACAAAAGCAATCACTGGGAGTCAGTTCCAAGCAGGCCTTGGTCACAGTGTCAGAACTAAAACTGCATCCAGCAAGGACACAGCTGTCAGTTCCTGCATTCCCTTTTTTTTTATTCTCCTAGGTCTGATAACCCTTTGGGGGATCCTGCTCTACCTCCGGTATCGCTGGCGGAAGATGGAGGAGGAGGAACAAGCCATGTATGAAATGGTGAAGAAGATCATAGGTAGGAGCTGTGGGAGCACAGGGAGCCCTGCTCTGCTCCCTGCAGGGTTGAGCCCTCACTGCTGTGTCCTCCTGTCCTCCAGCTGTTGTCCAGGACCACTACAAGGAATGGGAGCGGAATTTGGAGCGTTACCCCTACGTTGGCATCTTCCACGTCCGGGATAGCCTGATCCCTCCTCAGAGCAGGTGAGCTGGCTCTGGGCACTGAGGAGGGCTGGAAGCAGCAGGATGGGATTCAGGACAGCTCCAAAATGCATCCCTGGAGCTGCTCTGCAGGACGAGGCTGGAGCCTTTGGGCTGGGAAAGGCTTGGACACAGCTCAGGCTGTGCCTGCACCTGGCGCAGATCAGTGTGCCAGCCCTGGGGCTGCTACTTGGTGCAGTGCCACGGGTAGTTGTCCTTGTTCTGTCCAGCAGTACCTGGGTCTGGTTTGCTTGGACCTGCAGCATCAGGTGTCCTCTGCTTCATCTGCTCGGTGTCTGGTGCTGTCCCCTTTCCCAGCCATCCTACTTGGCTCTCCAGACCAGAGCAGTTCCCAAGAGGGGCTCTTCTGCAGTGATTGTGGGCCTGGAAAGGGGCCAGTTTGAGTTGTGCAGCTGGGATAGGAGCTGGAGTGAGATGATTTGGTTTGGGTTTTGTTTGTTTGTTTGAGGTTGTGTTTGGAGCTTTCTTGGGTTGGGTTTGGGCCTTTCTCAGGTTGGGTTTGTGCTTTCTCAGGTTTGGGGCTTTCTCAGGTTGGGTTTGTGCTTTCTCAGGTTTGGGGCTTTCTCAGGTTGGGTTTGTGCTTTCTCAGGTTTGGGGTTTTCTCAGGTTGGGTTTGTGCTTTCTCGGGCTTGGGGCTTTCTCAGACAGGACTTATGGTTGAGGTCATTGCTCTGTGGGTGGTGGGGCTGAAGGGCTGCAAGGATGGATCCTGCTGCTTTGCAGGGTTATTTCTTGTGTTTTGGTTAGATGGAGCTGCTTTGTCCTCCTGTGAAACATCCTCCCTCTGTGTCAGACACAGGATTCCTTTTCCTACAAGGGATGACTGCAGCTGTTTGAGCCATCCCTGGGTGTGAGATGCTCAGAACTGCTGGATCCAAAGCTGGGGTGAACATGAAGGTGAACATCTCACCCCCCTGGCTGAGATCTCTGTGTGCAGGATGGGGGAGGGCGATTTGCTCATTGAGTCCTTTTGCAGCACAAATTGAGGCAGAAATTCAGGGCACTGACAGAACCTCTTATCTTCCCCCCAGGCAGGATTTGTGTGGCCGTGCCCTGGTGTGAAATCTCTAACCCAGGGTTTGTTTGATGCCCCTTTCTGCCTGCACAGGGAACAGGAGGCAGCCAGATCCACAGGCACAGTTGCTGTAGGCAGGGAAGCACAACCAGCTTGGGATTCTCATTTATTTTCTTGCTGTTCCTCACAGAAAAAAGATGAAGCGGGTGTGGGAGAGAGCCGTGGATTTCCTGGCCTCCAACGAGTCCCGGATCCAGACAGAATCCCACAGGGTGGCAGGGGAGGACATGCTGGTGTGGAGATGGACTCAGCCCTCGTACCTGTCAGACTCGGAGCACTGAGGCAGCAGGAGGAGCAGCCGTGGATCTGGGTGGGGACATGGACCCTGTGCAGGGCTCAGGCCCCTCGCTGCTGGGGGAGGAGCAGGGCCTGGCCCCAGGGTTGGGGGTTGCACGGCTCTGTTTGCTCTCACTGCTGAAATTCTCCAAACACACACGTTCAGGGCAATATTGGCTTGGAAAGAAGAAGGGCTTGAGCTGGTGGGAAGCTGGAATTGCACCAAAGTGAGCCTTCCACAGAGACCTGGCTCCCGTGGCAAGCAAAGAATACACAAAGAATACAAAGAATAAACTGCACAGCCCTCTCGAGGGCTGGGGTGCTCTGCCAGAGCCTGGGGGTGCAAAATCTGACCTCAGTTCTGCAAAGGCCAACTGGTGGCAGAGTCCATCAAGGAATGTGCTGAAAGATACCATTTCCCATGGAAACATTTGGGTGGCAGTGCAGGCGTGTCTTTGTTTGCGTTTGTTTTTATCAGTGCAAAGACAGTGAGGAAGCACTTGCTGCTTCCCAGCAAGGAGAATGTTTTGTGTTGGCTTCATCCATCCAAAACTGGGGGAGGAGGGGGAAGGTGGGCCTGGAGAGAGAGGGGAGCCTGACGTGCCTTGGTGGTTTGGACTGGGCTGGGGGTGGTGGAGGAGAGTTTGTGACCCTGTTACACTTTTAAGTCTGCAGTCTGTGTGCTTTTATTACTTTTTGGGGGCTTGGGGCGGGGATTTGGGTGGGAAATAAAGGATATAGGAAGCTTTTAGAGGTGCTTTCCTGTGGCTGCAGCCCAGGACTGCCCAGTGGCTGTTACAGAGCAGCTTTGGGAGGGCTCTGAGGGCTCAGTGTTCATGTTTGAGCTGGGCAACTGCAGTGTCTGTGTTCGTGTTGGAGCAGGGATGTGCCAGCTCGGGGACTGTCGCTGTTCCTGCAGCCCCCTGTGGGTCCCAGGAGCAGCCTGGCTCTGTCCCAGTCCTGCTGCATCGTATCTCGTGTCTGTAATCACTTCAGCTTCTGTTTCTGTCCAGTGAAGGAACGTTTGTTTCCCAGAAAATGACACCAGTGTGTGGCAGTTCAGGCTCAGCAGAGGAGCTGCTGCTCTGCTCTTCCCAGGGCTCTGCAGCAGCTCCTGAGGCTGCAGGACTCAAATCCTTTGCTGGCCTTGGGCAGAAGTTGCAGAGCGAAGCCAGCAGTGATTTGAGCCCTGTAGCCCCTGGATGTTGCTCTCCTTGAGGACATCCTGGGGCTGGATGCTCAGATTGCTCCTGCCCCAGGCTCTGGGCTGGCTGAGGGCACAGCCCTGGGCAGGTGATGCCACTCCAGGTGTGTTCCTTGTGCCTGGCAGAGTCTGCAGCTCTCCCCACGTGGGGCGTTCCACTGGTACCCCTCGTGCTGCTGGGGCCCACAGAGACTCCGTATGGCTGGAGCAGAGCTCTCCAGGAGCAAAACCAGGAGATCTTTCCCATTAAATGGGGAATATCCTGCATGAAAGTGGCTCTGACCCCAAACTTTTGGGTGTGGGTGTTTGGGCAGGAGACTCAACAGCTCTTTGAGGCAAGGACCAGCCCCTTGCACTGTAATAAATAGGGAATAAAGGCAACCTTGATTCTTCCAAAATGTATCAAGATCATCACTGCTGCCAGAGAAATTCTCTCAAAACACCGGTGCCTCTGTTCTTAAACCTTTTTAAACTCTTGGTGGGGTTTGGGTGAGCTTTTTTAACCGTCCAGAAGTGCAGAGTCAGGCATTGCTGTCATCCTTTTGTATTAAACCTGGTTTTGTAGAACAGACTTCAATGGCTTGGTGCTGTTTCTATGTTCCATTTAGCTCTGTAAGAAATCAATATCAAAAATAAATTTATTACAAATAATTTAGTACTTTTATTTGTGCTCAGACATCACAGACTGTCCCAAGTGCTCTTGCTTGGATCAGGTCGAGTTCCAGCTTCTCCCAAGTTGTGGGGTGTGGCAGGAGCGGTTCCCCACTTGTGGGACTTCTGTGGAAAGGGGTGACTCACGATGAATTAATCTCATCCCGTGGCTCTGGGTGACAAAGGGGATTTCCAGTGGCACAGGGAGTGGCTCTGTGGCCAGCAGGAGCTACCTCCTCTCTGGCTGCAGCTGTTGCTGAGGTTTGGGAACAAAGGGGAGGGAATCAGTGCAAGGCCCCACATTCCTTGTGGGATGCTTTTACCCAGGTGAGGTTGCTAAGTTACAGCTGGAATCCATTCCAGGTTAGGAAATGGTGCTGTTTGGAACCGTTCCATGTGCCAGGGGGTGTTGCTGTCTGATGGTGGCTGTGACTGTCACCCCCACTGTGTCCCCTGTTCCATCTCTCTGGGGCAGAGCAGCCCCATTCCATTCCATGCCAGACTGGACTGGGAATTCTGGCAGTGCCAGCAGTTTTCCTGGGAAAAGCAGGTTCTGCCCTCCCACTGTGCTCCCTTCCCAGCCCCCACTGCCAACCAGAGCTGCTGAGGGCCCTTTCCCACTTTCTTGCAAAGTAAATTTCTATAATTAACCACATTTCTATAAATAACTTCTCCAATGGAGCTGTTGCATCCCCTCCCTGTCAGGGAGGCAAACGTGGCCCAACGAGGGCTCTGAAACGAAACCAACTCTCTATCTTTTCCTTTCCTGCTTCCATTTAAAGCCCTTCCCACGGGATGTTTTTCCTGCTGCTGACACGACAGCTGATGCTGCACCTTATTGACAGGCATGGAGTCAGGGCACAGAGCCAGTTCTCCTGGAAAGATCCAGCCAGAGAATGAGTCCTGCCCGGAGCTGCCTCCCTCCAGCACAGCCCCATCCGTCCATCCATCCATCCATCCATCCATCCATCCATCCATCCATCCATCCATCCATCCCCATCAATCCGGAATTTATCGGGGTTCCACCCAGCTTTAAGGAACGGTAGGTGTTGCAGGAGGGGTTTGTGGAGCCCTGTCCCCACCTCCCAGGCTCCCACACGAGGCCAGGCCTGTCCAGCAGCACCTGCTTTTGTAGGAACACTTCTGTGGGATCTGATGCAAAGCCCACGGGGGTCTGAACAGCCTCTCCAAAGCAAGGAGAGCCCAGTGGGTCATGGAAAGCATGGGCTCTGAGCTCATCTCGCCCCGGGTGGGGTGTGGACTCTGTGACCCCCACATTCCCCATCCCAGCTCCTGGCACAGCAGCAGCTCCTTGGAGTGTGCTCCTGAGGGGCAGGAGGACACCGGAACCCGCAGTGATGTCCCTGAGAGGGAGGAGAATTCCTGCATAGGGAATATCGGGATGAGTCCCGGTGTGCTGAGGTCACTCGGGGCAGCCCTGGCTCCCCCAAGGCTCCCAGCACCGCCAGTGTCCCCAGCCCGAGCCGCACTGGGACAGCTTTGGAGCGGGGGTGGCCAAGGTGGGAACATCGCTAGGCCCCTAATTAGTTCTTAATTAGCACAGCTTCAATCCGAGGCAATGTTCTCTCTCTGCGGAGTGCTCCACTCGTTAGCAGAGGCTCCGTGGTTACCTGTGCTGCTGCCCACCCCGCGGTGCTCCCGGGAATCCTCCCTGTGCCTGACTGCCGGGACACGGCTCCAAGCGGCATTCCCGGCCATGGAACACGGGAGACAGCCCGCGGGACAGGCCCTGCCAGGGGAAACGGGGGCACTGCCAGCTGAGCACTGCCAGGTGGGCTCCCCAGTGCCCACCTGGATGCTCAGTCCTGCCTCTCACTGAGCCCCAGTGACCCCCAGCATGGGCCTGGCCCCTTCCTACCAGCTCTGGGATGGCTGGATTTAAAGCCTGGCACGTTTAGGGTTGGCAGCCTGGCCTGGCTGCTCTCTGGGGGCTTTTGGAGCTGGGGGCTGCAGTGGGTGAGGGACAGAACAAGTGCAGGGATGTCGGGACCTGCTGGGCACAGGGAGAGGAGCTGCTCTGGAGCCCTGCCCTGCCCCGCCTGCCCTGCAGAAGAAGGAGGAGGAGGAAACTCAGCTGGACTCGGGGGACAGGAGAGGAGGGAAGCAAAAACCCCATGTCTGGCTGTGCAGAGTGCTCAGGTAAGCTTTTTCTCCTTCAGAAACCAACCTTATAAAAAAAACCAAACTCTCAAACCAAAAAAAAAACCAAAAAAACCACCAAATAAAAAAAGTGCTTTCCTGAGCTCAGATTCCAGCATGAAGCCAGGCCTTGGGAATCTGGGTCTTCCTTTCATCCTTTTCTTTAATCTCAGCCTCTGCCCCCACCATCAGTTTGATCCCTTGGCTCACCCTGAGCCTGGTTTCTCCCCTCCAGTTAGTGGGAATTTCCACATCCATCAATCCTTATCCCAGTTGTGAGGTTTTCTTCCCTGGCATTTCCCCCATGGCATTCCTGGTGGGCTCCAGGCCTGGGCACGCTTTGGCTGAAGTCCTCAAATTCCTGCGGGGGACTGGGGGTGAGAACGGGCATCGTCCCCTCCTTGTCCTTGTTCCTTGTGATTCCCTAAAAAACACATGGATCCCATTTTTTGGGGGTTCAGGGGGCTGGCAGGAACCATTGGCACATGCTGGACAGGATAGTAAGGCCTGGGGGGCACACACTGTCCTTGAGTGGCTGCAGGGGACAGTGTGGCCCTGGCAGAAGCTCCCTGGGACTTTTCCATTCCCCACACAGCTCCCGAGCTCTGACGTGGCTCTTTTCCCGCTGGCAAGGCCGGAGCTCCAGATCCACTCATCCCCTGCCCAGCTTTGGGCAAACCTCGGCCTTCCCCTGCTTTGCTCACAGCTTCTCTTCACCACAAAGGGGATCTGGTGTCCCCCAGCTGCTTTCACCACCCTGTGCCTCTCCTCCTGCATCTCTCCGAGCTGTTTTGGGAGCTCTGGGAATCTCCATCCCTCTCCCGGTGCCAGCCCACTCTGCAGGGAGGTGACAAAACCGGTGGGGGCCGAGCTGAGGGGGAGTTCAAAGCTGGACAAATCCGCAGTTGTTTTCCAGGAGAGCTGATTTCCCAAGACAGCCGGAACACACCCGGCACCTCTCGCTCTGTTCCCGGCCCTCACATGCGGCCGTGTCCCTGTCCCATCCAGCGTGGTTCTCCTTGGCACAGCCCCACTGGAATGTCAGCTGGACATTCCGGGCTCCTGCCAGCGCCGACGCACTCGGGCCGTGCTCAGATGTTCCTTCATTCCTCGCCGTGGAGCCTCAGCGAGAGGCAGCGCCCTGAGGCTCAGCCGCAGCCCCCGGCGGACACCGGCGCGCACAGGTGAGGGTTGGGCTGGTGCCAGGTGGGGTGGATGGTGTGACGGGGACACAGCTTTGGAGGTGGGTGGGATGCTGGCAGGAAGGCTCTGGCTGGTGGGAAGGGATGGGAGTGGTGCTGGGGGCTGGTGGGAATCTCTGGAGCGACCCTGCAGCTGGTGGAATGGCTGGGAAGTGGAGGGGAGGGAGGTGCTGTGGAAGGCAGAAAGTGGGCAGGGGGTGAGGGAACCTGTGCCCTTTTCTGCAGAGTGGTGTGGCACCGTGTCAGTGGTGGCACTGTGTCTGTGGTGGCAGCGGGTCCATGGTGGCAGCGGGTCCATGGTGGCACTGTGTCTGTGGTGGCAGCGGGTCCATGGTGGCAGCGGGTCCATGGTGGCACTGTGTCTGTGGTGGCAGCGGGTCCATGGTGGCACTGTGTCTGTGGTGGCACCGGGTCCGTGGTGGCACTGAGTCCATGGTGGCAGGGGGTCCGTGGTGGCAGCGGGTCCATGGTGGCACCAGGTCCATGGTGGCACTGGGTCTGTGGTGACACTGTGTCCATGGTGGCACCAGGCCCCAGCTCTGGGGTTCCATGCAGGGCTGGTTGGGGCTCCAGGCGAGCTCCAGCACCAGGAGCACACACAGATCTCAGCCACGTTCTTTTCTTGCCTTTTAATGAAGCAAAGGATCTGCAGTGCTTGGAACCCAACTTTGGAGCTCTGGGATGCTCTGGGAGCAGGGAGGTGGCCAGGAGGGGCCACACTGAGAGCATGGGCCTGTGCACAGAGCTCTTGTTTCTAGAGAGATTTTGCTTTTTAATATTCCCGGGTGTTTCTGCCACAAGGACCCAGCCCAGCCTGACTGCGCGTTTCTCTCAGGGCCACACGAGTCCTCTTTGGGATGGGATGGAGTAGGTGCCACTCAAAGATTGGAGAATTGAATCTGCCTGGTTCCTTTTGGCTCAGTTTGGAGTTGGGGATAAACAACCAGTTTAGCTGAGACTCCTTTGACATTTGGCCCAGGGTGGGAGGTGACAGTGCCAGGGGAGCGGCGCTGTCCCCAACGCTGCAGCAGAACTCTCCCAGCTCCAGCCCTGCCAGGAGCAGGGGCACCTTCCACGGTTTCTCCAAAGCCCCATCGCCTTCCTGGAGAATGGAATATTTCTCTTCCATGCAGAGGAATATTCTCCATATCCTCCTTCCCCAATATTTCCTGGCTCCACCTGCAGCACCTGAGCTACTTTTCCTTTAGCTGTGGGAAAAACACTGATGGATTCTGGTTTTGCTTGGAGGGTCTGGATTTATCTGTAATTCTGTGTATTTTCAGTGACGTAAATATCTCCTGGCATTTGCGATACCTTGAGCCAGTGGAAGTGATTTATTTCCAGTGTCTTGTTTCAGGGGAGCTCAGTGTTTGCAGGAACATTTATCTGCTCCGAATGGATGAGCTGCTTCCCAGCAGAAACTCCCAGAAAAGAACCTCCTTCTCCTGCTGCAAATCCTGCTCTGAGTTTTGCTTGGGAGAAAACATTCGGGAGCTTTATCGAATTGTGGATGTTTTTTCCCCATCTCCCTTTGCAATGCTAAGGTTGCCAGAGCTGTCAGGGGGTTGTGTCAGCTGAGTCTCAGCCTTGGACTGGCTCAGAAGCAAGAAAGGATTTAAGTCGTGTTGTTCCCTGCTCCAAAGAGGTGTTATGACAAATCCACTTGCTTTTGGCTTTTCTCCTTCTTTTTAAGGATGGGAGGAAGGGAGGGAAGAGCCACACAAAAAACCTCACAACAAACCTGCGGCTCCCGAGGCAGAAAATCCTCTTTAAAAATTGCCACAACTTAACAAAATGCCGAATGCTTTTATTAACACCCGGGAAGGCTCCGAGGAGCCGCTTTCTTCCCGGCTGGAAAGCGCTGGGCTCGGGAGCCTGGCTTTGTTCCTCCGGGAAAGGTAATTGTAGAGCAGGAATTCCTCTCCAAAGAGGAATAATGGGAGGGGAAAAACCCCACCCTGGGGGAGATAAAGGAGCCACTGGTGCGTTTGGAGGTGGCTCTTCCCTGCCTTCAGCCCACTCCATCCCACTGCTCCAGGTGGGAAACAAAACCGGCACCTGCAGCAGGTGCTTTTCCCTTGGGGGTTAATCCCGGCAGGAGGAGCAGGGGAGATTTGAGCATCACAGAATATCCCGAGTTGGAAGGGACCCAGAGGGATCATCGAGTCCAACTCCTGAGCTCTGGATCCTTCCTGCAGAATGGGGAATATGCTCCGTGCCCGCAGATCCAGCTCGGGGTCAGCGCTGGCTTCAGGGCAAGCCCTTCCTGCAGAGCCCCTGCCCACCGTGGGAAACTCCAGGTGCCTCCAGGAGGTGCCACCACCCCTCTGCTGTTCCCTGGCTCCTGCACAAGGAGGGGTGACAGCGCTGCCCTGGTCACACCTGTCCCGTGGGGCTGCCAGGGATGGAGCTGCTCACCTGGCAGAGCATCCTGGAGGCTTTCCCGGCAGAACTGGATCTTGCAAAGGCATCATTGTCCCCTGCACTGGGGTTCTGCTGGCAAAAACAGGGTGCAAAGCTCCCCAGGTTGTGCTGAAGCTGGAACAATCTGGAGAAAGGGCCTGTGCTGCCATGGCCCCATCCTCAAATGATGATTTTCATGATTTTTTCCCATCCCTGTGAGTCTGGGATATGGAGTGTGAAGCCAGGCTGCTCCAGCACCAACATCAGCTCCTTTTTGTCATCCTTGGTGCATGTGGGATTCAGTTCCTGATGTCCAAGAGCCATCCATGGGTTTCCTGTGAGGAATGGGGGAAGGAGCAGGTGGTTGTGGGTGCTGCTGCTGGGGATGCACCACGGATGTGCTCTGTGATTTCCCTACGTTGCTGCTTTGGAGCCGAGACTTGTTGCTATCAGAATCAAGGAGGAATTTCTGGAATCAGGCATGGATCCATTTCTGGGGGCAGGGTGGAAATCTGGGTGTGAGCCCTGTGGGTGCTGGTGTGACACATCCACATCCCCCTGTGCGTGTCTGTCAGCCTGGGAAGGAAATGCTCCTGCTGCTGCTCCGGTGTTAAATGCCAGGAAATGCCCCAAACCGAGGTTTCTTCGGAAGGTGCAGAAATTGTTGCTCACCCCACCTGCAGTGTTGTAGAGCAAGGGAGTGCCTGGGGGCTTGCAGGGGCTTTATAACAATGTTGGGAATGTCTGAGGGAAGGCCTGGGACCGTCCTAACACGGCCTGTGGGACAAACTGGGGGTGTTCCACAGCATCAGTGCAGTGTGTTAATGACCTGTCCAAGGAATCCCTGATCCTGCTGCCTTGTTGTCACTGCTTTGATTCACAGCTCTTCTTGGTCTCTGTCTCTTGTCCCCAACACAGTGAAATTGGGGCTTTCTTGAACTCCATGTGCCAGGCCCTGGGCACTGACAGATCTCATCCCACCCCGCTGGGTGACCCTTCTCTAATTCTTTAATTCCCTCTGTTTTGCAGATTTCATTGCTGAAAGACCAGCGTGGAGGAAAACCCAGAGTGGGGGAAACAGCAGAGTGTGTGAGAACTGGCCCAGCACTGCCCGTGCCAGCCCGTGCTTCCCATCCCCGAGCGCTGCTGGGGGTGGGGCCAGAGCCCCCTGGGCTGTGCCTGGCACCATGGTGGGTCAGAGCCCGCTGGGCCCTGGCGAGGGCAGGGCTGCCGTGCTCCTGCAGCCCTTCGTGCACCAGGTGGGCGGCCACACGAGCATGCTGACCTACGATGAGCACACCATCTGCAAGCCCCTGGTGTCGCAGGAGCTGAGCTTCTACGAGTCCCTGCCCCTGGCCATGAGGCAGTTCACGCCTCAGTACAAAGGTAAGGGTAGCTACAGAGCTCTCACCTTCCTAAAAAGCATCCCCAGCTGTGCCAGGTGAGCCTTTTCCAGGCGCAGAGGATTCTCCTGCCTGTCCCTCTGCTGCTGCCCCATCCCTGACCCCCATTCCCAGTAGAATCTCACAGCCCAGCCCCTAGAAAGCAGCACTGGGAGAGCAGCACCAGTGTTTTTAAAAGACATCCTCCCTCCCTTCTCTTTCTTATTCCCTCAGTATTTTCTCCTTTTACTGCCAGACTTGTGCTGCTCATAAAGCTCCTGACCCTGGCTTTTGGGGGAGGCGAGAAGCTCGGTTGTCACGTAAAAACTTAAAATATCTCTTGGTCCTTCGGCATTACAGCAAAGAGCTCAGTCTGCCACGGCTCCAATGCGCTTCCAGCCCAATCTCTCCCTTTCCCAGAAAGTCAGGGGCCTCTGCAGATTTATGGGACAATATTAAAAAGATGCTTAAGGGAGAAAAGTTTTCTCTGAGCGGTTTCCTCTGGCAGGAGCTAGGTTTGGTGCTGCAGCACTGGGCCCTCACTGATAAAGCTGCTAAACAGTCCCAGGTTAATCAGTCCAGGGGTGCCCTGGTTATTCAAACCTTTTTGTCTTTTCTTCTCCTGTTTCAAGTCCCAGAGAGTTTTATGATGAGGGGTAATTAAAAAGCAATTCTCTAATCTGGCTCACAGGTTTATTCCTCTCTCGGCTGTCCCAGCCCTGTTGCCAGGCAATTAAAAAGGTGAAATGCTTTTCTGTGAGGATAATGAAGGGAATGAGTGTCCAGAGGGATGATCCTGGTGGCTCCATCCCCCATTCACACGTATCCATGTACCTCATCTCTATTTCTGGGCTGTGGGAACAGCCCTGGGACCATTATGTAATGGTGACATTCTGTGCAATGGTGATATTCCCTACAATAGGGATCAAATATCATTCAAGCCTCACCCTGAGCCTGTGGCTTTTCCTGCTCACTTCCCCCATATCAGGCAGTTTGGTGACCTTGGGACCAACTTTTTTCCCCTTTGAAGGCCCTGTCTTGTCCCAGTTGAGCTCACAGGGGGATGCTGGGCTTGTTTTCCAGCCCAGTTCTGCTCAGGTTCCCAGTGCCCTCGACAGTAGATGAATGTGCTTGTAAACACAAAAATAAACCCACAAGGGCAGAGTTACAGAGTGAGGCTCCTGAGAGCCTCTGGGATGCCACCAGCGTGGTGACAGCACCCAGAAATACTCTCTGTCTCCTTGCTGGTGCCGGCAGGAGCGGGATTGGGGTGTCAGTGACACCAAAGGCCAGCACAGCCAGGCACCCAAAGGCTTTGGAGAGATGTTTGCCCATGCAGCAAAGGAGGAGCTCTGAGGGTTGTCTGCCACACACAGGTCACAGCAGGACACCTGCAAACCCCCGTGGGATCCCCCCAGGAAACAAAAAGCACTTTTCAGGCTGAGCTGTAGGTTTTTTGAAGGCTGAATTTCCAGCTGGGAGGAGGGAGAGGATCACATTCCCTTCCAATTTAACACTCAGTTCTCTCCTTTGAAAAATCTTCCCATTAATTTTCATATTAATGGCTGATATTAAACAACTCTTACTTTCACGCTATATATAAGTTTTTTGGGGCCAGCCCGTCAGCACTATGCAAATGAGCCCAGCCCTGCTGACTGCAGGCAGGAACTGGGACAGTTTTTAAGGTTATGGTGTTTGCAATTGAGAGCTCCAGTCGCCTCCCCGTGACTTTTTAAAATGAAAAAGGCTTTGATTTAGGCAAAAGACATGCTGGCTTTTATTTTTTTTATTTTTTTTCCCCCATGCCTACATCCCCTGAAAATGTGAAGCAGTCATCCAGGCTGAGAGGAGATTTGTTTGCTCTCAGAAATATGGATTTTTTAAGAATGGGACTTAGGGAAAAGTTAATGCTGGAGCCTGAGGAAGATGGAACTCCCTGAGCCGAGCATAGAGGGCTGGGAGGGGTAAAAATATTCCTTTTCCCCCTAATGAAGGTTTGCAGCCCCTCAGCTTCCTTGGCAGAGCGGCCTGGGTAGATTTCCCCCATTTCTGTGCAAAGTCAGCCTCTTTAACCCAGCCTGTTCACAGTTATGCTGATTGAACAGCAGAAGGGACCAGGAATGGTTGTGGTGAGGGAAAAACATCCAAACCTGAGGTTTTGGGGTGCAGGACCTGGGGAGGGATGGGCACCCCAGTCCAACTGGGGTGGCTGCAGGGACCATTCAGGTGGGGAAACCCTCCTGGGGCAGCAGAACCTGGCAGGCAAAGCCTTTGCTCAGTGTTTGCTCACTGGAATCACTTGAAATGGAGAGAAGGGGCTTTGCGTGTTTATTTGCTTTGGCACCTTTGCTTGGGAGAGCAGAATTGTTTGTTAAGCTGCTGAGATCATCTCCCCACATGCCCTGCAGACCTGGTGGGGATGCCCTGGGCACAGCTGGACCCAGTCCAGCTCCCCAAATACCTCACATAACGCCTGGGCACAGCTGGATCCAGCCCAGCTCCCCAAATGTCCCACAGAACCCCTGGGCACAGCTGGATCCAGCCCAGTTCCCTGTGTCCCCAACAGGGCTCTTTCCAGTGCTGCCTTTGCTGGTGCCCCTGCCCTGTCCCTGTCCCCTGCCCTCTCTGGGATCTGGCAGCCCGCTGAGCCCCAGATCACAGAATCACAGCATGAACCAGGTTGGAGATGACCAAGTCCAACCTCTGACCTAACCTAACAGCTCCTCATCAACCAAACCATGGCACTGAGTGCCACATCCAGGCTTTTTAAAAACACATCCAGAGACTGTGACTCCAGCACCTCCCTGGGCAGACGATTCCAGTGCCCAGTCACTCTTTCAGTGAAGAATTTTAATTTTTTTTCTGATGTTTAACCTAACCTTCCCCTGGTGCAGCTTAAGGCTGTGCTGTAAGAACGCCCCCGGATCGTGGGGAGGCTCAGGAGGCTGTGAGGGAGCAGGATGGCGTTATCAGCCTTTCCCAGAAAGGTCAGAGCCAGCGGCGCAGGGATCCATGGCCATTCCTGCGCTGTCACTTGAGACATGCAGACAGCCGGCCCCGTGCCAGGGATGGGCTCACGTTGGGCTAAATCCGTGCTGGACTGGCTGGCATTTGAGCCCTGTGATTCCTGTCAGAGTCAGGGAAAATTGCAACGTTCAAATGCAGGATGGTGTTTTAAGCACTCAGGGTGGAAAAAAATAACCTCTGGTCACGGTGTTGGTCCCTGGAGGGCACAAACACCGGGCGTGTGACACTCCGGACCCCCGTGGGATATCTGGGTGCTGGTACTTGGCGCTGGGGGAGGGACACGGCCATGACAATGTGTGGGCAGTGCCAGCCCATGGCCACATCCCTGCCCTGCTCCTGGGGCTCTCCAATTAAAAGAAGCAGTTGGCACGCTGGGTGTCCTTGGAAAATACCTTGTCCCAACCCTCCCTTTTCTTCCTGCCAATGAAATGTGTTTCCAGCCTTGTGCTGTCTTTAAAAAGCACTTAAATTCCTTGTGATAAATAAGCTGGGAGCTCCTGACCTGGAGTGGGGGGCTTTTCTGGGTCACATGGGGCACAGCAGAGCTTGGACGGGTGAAACAAAGGAATGTGGGGTTCAGAGGAGGCAGGTTGCAAACTGAGCCTTGAGATGGGGAACACTTGAAAGTCCTGAGAGTATTTTCCAGGATCTCAGCCTAATGATATTTTATTTGGCTTGAAATCAGAGTGGGATCAGTAAAAGGCCACGAAACACAAGGTGGTGGCCAGGCCCCTGTGATACCCCACGGGCTCATCTCTGTCTCGTTTGTTTTCCTCTCTGTCCAGGCATTGTGTCCGTGCACCTCAAGAAGGACAGCATGGGCAACCTGACCCTGATGGCCAGCCCCAGCCTGGGCCAGCCAGACAGCTGCGGCTGCCTGGACAGTGCCGGCGGTGACCCCCCGGTCACCTTGTGGCACAAATGCAAGTGGAGCCACACCCAGGTCACCAAGACCTTCAAAGACAGGTGAGGGTCTGGCATTGCCTGCAATCCTTCTGGCTGGCATCTGCCACTTGGGTGGGGTTGGGATGGGTTTGTGGTGGGTTTGGTGGCCCAACTGTGGGTTTAGGGCAAAAGCAGTGCCCAGCTAAGGTGAAGAACAGCAGAGCCAAGCAACACACAAGAGCTGTGTTTGTGGTTCTGCTCTTCCCTGGCATGGGGATGGAGTGGGGTGGATCTGGGATGTTGTTGCTCAAATATGTGCCTCAAATTCTGCTCTAAACCCCATTCCTTGGAGCACAGCATGCTCCAGGAGAGGAGAGGCCATGGGAGAACAGTCACCGAGCAAGGAATGTACCTTTGCTGGCAACAGAGGAGCTTCAGTCCCATCCCATCCCATCCCATCCCATCCCATCCCATCCCAGGGGAGAGCTCTCCCAGGAAGGCACCTGGTGCTCCCAGCACCTCTGGCTCACAGAGGTTTTCTGCAGGACATCCTTCATTCCAAACTGGCTCAGAGCAGGCCTGGGCCACCTGGGACTGCAGGTGGAATATCCCTGCTGTGGAACCGCTGCCTTTGGAGTGATGGGAGTGGTGGAGTTGGGATGAGCGAGATCAAGGAATGGCCCCCCAAGGAGAAGAGATCTCCTCATCACTCTTTCCTTCCCTCCCCTCCCTGGAGCCAGCCCCTCCAAGTTTGGAATCATTCCCATTGTTGGACCATTTTCCTGTGCTGTGCCCATTAGGTGGATAAATAGAGATCCCTGGCAGCTGGGGCTGTGAATGGCTTTTCAAGGGAGCCAGCACACTTTAAATTATAATGAAAAAAAAGTATTGGCAGGCAGCAATAGCTGGCTTTCTGAAAATTACTGTTATGGAGTAACAAAGGATCTCTGCAGGTTGGACATGATCAATATGGTTCCTTTGAGAGTCCCTGAAAATCCACCTTATCAAGTTTGAGGCCCTACACAAAAAAAAAAGGAAAAAAAAAAGGAAAAAAAAAAGGAAAAAAAAAAAGGAAGGGAATATTCTCCTCTGGAGCTTATAAACACAATGTGTCCCTTTGTGTGCTTTGTCTAGCTGCCCTGGGAAGATGCTTTTGAGGACAGACCTTCAGTATCACACAGATTCCCTTTTGGAAGATGCAAATGGGAAGCAGCCAGAAAGGAAGAGCTACAACCCCTGGGGACTGCACTGTCACCGGCAGCACCTGAACCGCATGTCCTCCAAGCACAACGAGAACAAACTTCATCGTATCCTTTCTCCTCTCTCCCCTCCGGCACAGTCCTGGATAACAGATCAGTGTAGGGTTTATTGCAGAGGGATGCATCCCCTCCTCTGCACAGACTCTAGGAAAATAAGGAATATTCTCTGTTACCTTCTGTCACTGTTAAAAAAAAAAAGAAAAAAACTAAAAAAATAAATCCCATTTCCCATCAAGAGTTCTCAGCAGAAGTCAAAGATCCCCTTGGCATACATTTAAAAACACAACTATACAGGAATTAGCAGCTGCCTCGCCTTTTATTTTCCTATTACACTTCATTACCCACCAGTCATGTGAGTAATAGAGTTTAACAACTTCCCCCACCCACCGGAGTGAGCTCAGCACCAGGGAAGGTGTCGGAGTGACAGCCCAGGGCTACGGTGTCACTGGAGAATGGAGCTGTTGGGGCTTTAATTGGTAGGGCTGTAGTACAGTAAATTAACTGCAATTGGCAGCGAGAGGCCCATAGCAATGACACGTCGGAGAAATTGGCTCAGAAAGTCTCATTACAGTTGTGAGCTGTTATGGAGAGTGTCAGCAGTTGCTTTGATTTAAGGCATCTTTCAATTAGAATTTAAAAGTATTGGGCTTTCCTGAACTCCCACTCAGAGTTTCTCCTGCTGGAAAATGTGGTGTCCAAGTACAGCTATCCCTGCATCCTGGACCTGAAGATGGGCACTCGGCAGCACGGGGATGATGCCTCAGAGGAGAAGAAAGCCCGGCACATCAAGAAGTGTGAGCAGAGCACCTCGGCATCGCTGGGCGTGCGTGTCTGTGGGATGCAGGTAAAGCCTCCATCCCCTCGGTGTGTTGGTTCCCCCCTTGGTTCCTCACTTGGAACCAAGCTGGAATCTCCAGCTTGGCTGGTGTGAATTATTCTCTTTTCCCCCCAAACATGGGCTGTAAAAAGTGGCCTTTCAGAGAGGGTGTCAAATATAGCACATTTAGGGTGACCCTTCCTCTGTGCCACTGCCACCAGTGTGAGCAGCTGGAACCCTTCACTCCATCTGAGAAGCTGCTTTTCCACACAGATTCCTGCTCAGCTCTTGGCTGTTGCATGAAAAAAAACCCAAAAGCACCACATTGCCCCACTTGTGCTTTGGCTGAGCTGCCCCATCTTGGGGCTCTGAGAGCCAGGGGTTCATTTTGGACTGAATTTTTTCTGCTGGAAATCTCCATCCTTCCTCCTGGAAACCCAAACGCATTGCATTTCCCTCAGTCACTATTCTCCAGCAGATTTCAAAACCCTGCCTGAAAGATAAATTGAGAGTAATTAGAATAGAATGTAAAGCAAAATACGTAAAGTCAAAACCTGTGTCATTTTAAGTCCTTTCAAAACCTATGTCCTTTTAAGGTAAGAGAATAAAGTAGATATTTATTAAAGTTCTTCAACAGATACACCTTTGGCAGTCAAAAGCCTCCCAGAGGCTACACCCAAGATGGACAATGGTCACAGGTTTTTCAGACAGATGTTATAAATTTGTATTGTGATATTGGCTTTCGCAGGTACTAAGATGAATATTATATGTTAAATACTTTTTAGCTATGTATGTACTTTTTTTCTTGCTAACAAATTTTAAGCTTAAAAGAATTTCCTAGGTACAGGGCAAGGAAACCCCAGAGGGCAAGGACAGTGGGGCCCAAGCTGGTTATCAGGAGAACAATAGAGCCCAAACTGTTATCAGCAGAAGATATGAAGCCCAGCTGCCCTCAAAGGAAGGATGAGAGGCCCGGACTGTTATCAATACTTATCATTTGCAGAAGAAAGGAAACCAGACTCAAAATAATGGTGGTCAGCAAAAATAATGATGACCAGCAAGAATAATGATGACCAGCAAAAATAGTGCTGACCAGCAGAAAATAAAAATTGTGCAAAAGCATATTCTAAGAAGGCGTAACTAGGGAGGGGACATGTTTTGAATATGCATAAAATCCTCACAGCAGGAGGGGATAAAAAGAGTGTTCCCAAGATACCAGGTGTGTTCCTGGCAACCCGCCAGGGCACCTGGCCGTTTTAACCCTTTGCTTTATTTCTTTTGTCTCCTAATTGTCTTTTGTTTATATTAAACTTTTTATAATTTATTAAGTGAATCTTGTTTTTAATACAGATATGTTTGGTCTATTTGCATATCAGGGGTTAATTCTCCAATTACAGGTAATGAAGTTATATTCCCCCAGTTTCCTACCCTCCAATTACTTTTGTTAATACTTTTCAGGGCCTGAGGCTGTGGGATGTCCTTGGGTTCCAGGCCCAGAGGAATTATCTAACCAAAGTGTGTCAGTGTTAAGTGTGCACTAATGCAGCACAGGATTTGAAAAATATAAAGGCTAAAATCTTAAGGCATCATTCGTGAATCCCTCACAACTCAGGATGATGCTGTAAGTTTTAGCTTTTATATTTTTCATATTCTGTGGCGCCTAGGTGTATAATTTTAAGGTTCATGTTAAGTGTTAGTGAGCTCTCTTCACAAAGCAGATAGACAAAACAATTCCTTTTCTAGCTTGCTACGAAGGACAATCAATACAAGTTTCAGGCCCAAAAGCATCAACAACAGTGGACTGAAGAGAGAAAACAAGCAGGATGGGACTTCATAACCTGAAGCTGTAATTGGACAATTAACCCAAATATGCAGATAGACCAAAACTTATAAAAATGTGAGACCTCGTGACCAGATGTCCATTTTTGTGACCATTTTTAGGTCCATCTTAGGTGCAGCCCTGGCCAGGATCTTGTACTGCCCAAGGTGTGTCCTTTAAGGCCCTCCAATAAATCCCAGCTTTATTCTGAACTCTGTCCAGCCCCTGCTCCAGGTCAGCCTTCTTCAGGCATCAGGGATATTCTATGATTTTATGGATTATTCCTCTCTTCCCTCCCAGGTTTACCAGGCAGACACTGGCCATTTTCTGTGCAAAGACAAATACTACGGGAGGAAGCTCTCGCCGGAGGGATTCCGGCAGACCCTGCGGCAGTTCCTGTGCAATGGGAACCAGCTGCGGACAGACCTGCTGGAGCCCATCGTCCTGCGCCTCAAGGCCCTGCTCGCAGTGATCCGGAAGCAAAGCTCCTACAGGTTCTACTCCAGCTCGCTCCTCATCATTTACGATGGGCAGGAGTACAAGGAGAGTGCGGATCATCACCTCCCCTTCCCAAAAACTCACGGCACGAACCCCTCCAGGGTGGATGTGAGGATGATAGACTTTGCCCACACCACCTTCAAAGGCTCCAAGAGCAACCCCAACCCCACCCCACACGATGGGCCAGACCACGGCTACATTTTTGGCCTGGAGAACCTCATCAAAATCCTTCAGAGCTTGTCAGAAGGGAAGTGAGAATTTCTGTGAAACGGCCTGGATTTCCTAGTGATTGATAGCCCTGAAAATCCCGCCTGGGGTCGGCTGTGTGGGACCCTCCAGCCACTGGATGTGGCATAGAACGAGCACAGATAAATTGGGAAGTGCTGAAAACTCTCTGTGTCACTGAACTGAAGTGTGGAAAGCAGAGAGCTGGAAGAATCTACTCTCTCTGCCATCCATCAGAAGATTTATTTTCCTTTCTGGTTTTACTGCTGTCCTTGATTTATTTGTGAGCCAAAGAAAGCATTACTTGAGAAGAGTCTTAATGATAAACCAAGAACTTCTCACCCTGCAGCTGAGAGGGAGGAGGGTTTGGGGCAGGAACAAACAGATGGAGCTTCCCTTTGGAGCTTCCCTTCCTGCTCCTGCTCAGGTGGGAGGGAAAAACACCCTCCAACATTCCCAGTGTCCCTGGTCGGGATTCTCTGTGCACGTGTTCAGACCAAGAGCTGCACCTCACCAAGCTTTAACATCCCTGTGGGGGTATAACAGGGAATTTTCCATGGATTTTCTAGGAAAGAGGCTCCACTGGGGCTGGAAGCATGGGAATACGATGACTCTGTCAGGTATCAGCCACAAAAAACTTTCACATCAAGGGATTTTTGCTTAAAAAAACCAAGGAAAACAAGAAAAAAAAGTGTGAGATTGATTCAGGGACTGCACGTCAAAGGTCACTCAGAAATTCTTTGATACAAATACTGTGTGCGCATGTGCGCGTGTGTGAGTTTGAAGGAGACAGTAACAAAAGACTCTAAAAATAATGTTTACAGCTTCTGTGGACAGATTTTATTATTATGACGGAACAAATATAATTCCTTCCTTCATGGTGTGGGAAATCTGAAGGAGAAGTCCTTGCACAAAGAATAGAGCTACAGAACTCCACTACCGGGGAGTGGGGATATCAATAAAATTGTGAAAGTAACTCCCAAATGTTGTCCATCTCTTTTTCCCTCCCGCAGCATCCTTGAGGTACTTTATCCTTCGTTTAAGTCCATAATTTTTTAAGAGAGCCGTTATTGCCACAAGTTTAAACACCAGATCTCAAGGGAGATGCTTCACTTGGATTTATGTCAGAAAGCTGGGGAGCTGCTGCAATTTATAGCTGGAAAATTTAAGACATCTGGCCCAGATGTGTATTTTGCTTGGCCCAGAGTCCACCTGGGAAGACTCTTGTTCGCAGTGTTGGGTTATTGCTTGACCACAAACTGTAAAAAAGTAGCTGCAAACACCCAATTTCAGTAGGGAGCAAGCCATGAATTGTCCTGGCTCCCATCAGATGTCTGGGATAAGACTTTGTGGCTTTGTGGATAAGTTTGCAGAGCCACCTGAGCATCCTCAGGGTGCACAGCAGGACACGGGTGGGACAAGGGATGGATGAGAAGGGTCTGAGTGTGACACCATAGCCAGAGAGCCTCGTTGGGCAGCCCCTCGCTCTTCATTGCTGCACAGAAAGCAACTTGTTGGCTGAATAATTAGAAAAAGCTCAACGTGCCCTCCCTTTTTACCCCTCATACACCTGCACAGTGTGGCTGCCTCTTCCCTGGCAGTGTCCAAGGCCAGGCTGAACGGGGTTTGGAGCAACCTGGGATAGAGGGAGGTGTTCCTGCAAGGGCAGGGGGTGGGATGAGGTGGCATTTAAAGTCCCTTCAACTCAAACCATCGTAAATCCTGTGAGGAGCAGGTGAGGGAGCTGGGGAAGGGTCTGGAGCACCAGGAATTGCTGAGGGAGCCGGGGAAGGGGTTCAGCCTGGAGAAAAGGAGGGTCGGGGGGACCTTCTGGTTCTGCACAACTCCCTGACAGGAGCGGGCAGCCGGGGGGTTCGGGCTCCGCTCCCAAGGGACATGACAAGGGAAAACGACCTCAAGCTGAGGTTCAGGTTGGAATTTCCTCATTTTAAATGCGGTCAGGGTTTGGAAGGGGCTGCCCAGGGAGCTGTTGGAGTCCCCATCCCTGGAGGTGTAGCACTCAGCACTCCGGGCCGGCGACAAGGCGAGGACCGGGGGCAGTTCGGGACCCGCCGCTCCGGGAAGGAATTTCCCCCCTCAGGCATTCCCGCCCCGCCTCGCCTGCCACGTGACCCGGCGGCGGCGCCACGTGAGCGGCGCACGTGACCCGGCGCCATGGCCGCCAGCCGGTACCGGCGCTTCCTGCGGCTCTGCGAGGAGTGGCCGGTGGAGGACAGCAAGCAGCAGCGGGACCTGGGCGCGGTCCTGCGGCAGCGGGTGGCACAGGCCTTCCGCGAGGGCGAGAACACGCCGGTGAGGGCCGGGAGGGCGGTAACCCCGCGGCGCCGGCCTGGGAGGGCGCGGGGAGCGGCCCGGCGGTGGCTCCGAGGGGTCGGGGCGGAGCGCGGGGGTTTGGGGCTCACACTCGGCTCTGCCTCGGGGCTCGCTGGGCCGGATGCCGGCAGGAGGTTGTGCTCGGGGCTCCCTGAGGCTTCATGGATAATTTAGGACATCCTGAGCTGGAAGGGAACGGGATGCACAGGGGTGATGGAGGCCTGCTGCTCCTCGGCAGCCTTTGGAACGCACATCCGGGGAAGCCTTTGGAATATCGGCCACGGGCTCGTGCCTCCACGGGGCAAACTGAGGTTGTGCCCAGGTCAGTAGTTTGTGCCCGGGACACCTGGGTTGTACCTGGGACAAATGATTGGTACCCAGGACACCGGGTCTGTACCCAGGACACCTGGTTTGTACACTTAACACTGGGCTTGTGACCAGGACACTGAGTTTGTACCCAGGACAGCTGTTTTATCCTCAGGACAAGTGGTTTATACCCATTTCTTGCACTCTTTGCACCATGTCCTTTGGAGAACCCCATTCCTGTGGTTAGGGGAGTGGCGTACAGAGCTTTGGGAATTTTTCAGCTGTGCTGGAACCCAGTTAATTCCTGTGATCTCCTTACCTCGAGGGTGGGATGATGGGATGCTGCAGCACTGCCTGACACTGATGGAATGCAGCAGTTGTACAATTGAATTCCGCCTCCAGCTGTAATTCTGTTGGAGTTTAGGCTTTGCTGCTGAAATAAATTAGGGAATCTGATGCCTGACTTGGCTGCAGACCTTCCCAGGCGTGGAGGTGTTGCTGCAGAATGCAAATGTGCCCTTTCTTAGCATAAAAACATTGTTCCAGAGATGCGTTTTCGACCTCAAGGGGCCATTATAGGCTCCTAATCCTGTACTGGTGACCGGAATTGTCTGCAGCAGGCATTTTGGGAAGGGTTTTATTGCTTTTCCATATGCTCAGGGCAGCTTAATATGTTGCACCACTTGGCTCCAAGATCCCAAAGCTGCCACTGATCCTGGAAATCTGAATTGATGCCTGCAGCAGCGGTGGAAATTTGTGTAGAGAGGCTGAATGTGCTGGCAGGAGGAGCTTCTGAGAGGGGAACTAGAGCCACGAGGCCTCTTTAGCCATCTAATGGAATGAGATTTGCTGGATTTCCAGGGGAGGGATGCTGTTTGTGCCACCCTTTTAATGGCTGGATGTGCTGGAGCCTTGGCATGGGGTGTTTGGGATGGGGCTGCAGGGCACAGGTGGGGATCACCTGCAGGGCGGTGTGGCTGTCCTTGTTTCCTCTCCTGCAGCCCTGCTGAAAAAGGAGACTCTTCCTACTTCATCCTGACACCTTTCTGTTGATGTTATTTTTACTCTTGACCTGTTTTAACCATTCATGGAGCAGCAGCATTGAGTTCTGGGGTGAGCTGGGCTCATTGTACCACAACACCCAGGAAAAGCATTGTGGACTGGAAGAGCAGCTGAGCAGGAGCTGTGCCAGGCAAAGACACCTGGCACAGGTTGGGGATGAGCCGGATCTTCCAACTGAAATAGCAATCCAGTTACCCTTCAAGCTGTTCCCTGTCATTTGTGCTGATTTCCCTATTCAATTACAGGCTATTTTTAGCCCCCTACAGGTAGTTTCTACCATCTAGCTTGGCACCTTGTCCTGTGGGATTCCCTACAGTGAGGCAGGTGACAGAAGTGGCCTTGCAGCAGGAAGGGCCACAGATTTCACAGCACCAGCCAAGAACGTTCTCTGTGACCGTGTATTCTCTGTCAGGTCTTGTTGATGCAGAGTTTCAGATCTGTTCTGGAAATCCCAAGTGTTGTTATTCCTGCAGGCCAAGCTGGTGGGAGATGGAGGGGAAAAATCTGGAGCAGGACAGCAGATGGACAGTATCCAGCAATGCACTGGGAATTCTGAGCTGTTCTTTCATGGCCATTGTCCCTTGGAACAAGGAGGGTTTTTGGTGTGGAGGTGTAAAACCAGACTTGTGTGCCACTTGTGTTCCTTGCAGATCTCTGACCCTGAAGCCTGTGACCAAATGTATGAGAGCTTAGTGAGGATCCACACCAACTTCTACAAAAACAAGGTGAGAGCTGCAGCACTGGCCACTGCCCCTCTCTTTGGCGGGGAGCCACCACCTGCTGCAGCATTCCTGGGAATGGCAGTGTTCCTGGGAATTCCTGAGGGACAGCTGAGGGGCGGATGCAGCAGTGGCAGCTGCTGGGTGAACGGGGCAGGCCTGGTTCCTGCTGTGGATGAACAGAATCCCAGCTGGAAACTCGCTCAAACTGTGCCAGCTGGTGACACTTGTACCTTTTTCATGCACTACAAGTGACTTCTCTGTCTCTCTCCCTCCTTTTCCTGCTCTCCTGAGAAGTACCCACGCCTGAAAGACACCACCTTCACCGGGGTGACAGTGGAGGATTGCAGGATGATCCTGGCCACAGGTACTGCTGCTGGGATTGGTCTGAGAGGGCAGGGCCAGGGGAAAGGGACATTCTGGTCTTTGGGGTGCTCCTTTGCATCCCTTCTCAGCCCCTGAGACTGGAGGGCACCAAGGGGCTGCCTTCAAATTCTGTGAAGGTGTATGAGGAGTAAGTTGAGGAATAATTCAGTTGAGGAGTAACTCAGTATATTGGGGTGAAGAATCAATTGGATTTTGCACTGTCAGGAACAATAGAGGGTTTGCAAAGGCTCTGTGGAGTCAGACAGCAGGATCTGTGTGGAAGGAACATGTTTGCTACGTCATCCCAGCACTGAGCTCAGCTCTTTCACCATCTTCCAATTCCCTTCATATTCCTTCTGTGTCAGACCTTGGATGGAGCCGGGTGCCCCACGCAGAAATGCTCTCGGCACATCCTTTATAAAGAGCTGGGAGCCAGAGCAGTTTTGTTCTGCTCCAGTTCCTAACTTTGATTGCAGTGTGTGGAAACTGAGTATCAGTTGTTAGTGATAAGAGACTCCCTGCATTGATTGCAAGGGAAACCAGCCTCGCCTCAGGCCCAGAATGAAAATTCATTAAGATGAAAAGTCAGGAAAGGAAATCAGATGGAAGGCAGAGCTCTTTTAAGAGGGTTTCATTCCTCTGCTTTCCTGCTTATCTTCCTTGGGCTCCATCTCTGTCTCCCTTCTCCTTTTGCAGACATTCTGAAACAGATGGAAGACATAAAAAGAGGGACGTGGAAAAGACTGCGGGAAAAGTTCTCTGCCAAGAAACCCGAGGAGGACTTGAAGTGAGGGCCCAGCTCTCAGCTCCTCCACTGTACATATCCCTGAAGCTCTGTGTGTTGCCATGATGAATAAAACTGCTTATTCCTCTTAGCAACAGCGTTTTTGTTCAGCCCTACCCTGTACATTCTTCATATTTAGTGCCTCCTTTTTTTTCTGCTGAGAATCTAGCACATCCATGCTGGAGCAGTGTAGAGAAGGGAACTTTGTGGTGTCAAACCTGGCCCTTTGTATCTCAAAAAATGGAACAAGCAGGAGCTGCCCAGAGGGAGGAGGTGCAGCTTTAAATGTTCTTGTGAAGAGAACAGAGAGGATGTGAAAACCTCTCTGTGCTTGTGTTTGTGTGTTAGCCCAGGGACCAGGGCAGTGCAGGGAGGGAGAACTTTAATCATCACATT